GATGGGGCCGGCGAGCCCTCATGGGACCTCGACAGCACCATCAGGCTCGCCAAGCTGCTGCCCGCCCTGGGCATCGACGTCCTCGACGTCAGCAGCGGCGGCAACAACTCCCAGCAGAGGCTGCCCCGCGAAAAGACCTACCAGACCAGCCTGGCGCGCGAGATTCGCCGCGCCCTCCGCGCCGACAAGCTCGACCTGATTGTCGGCGCCGTGGGCAACATTGACAGCGCCGAGTTTGCCAGGGACGTGGTGCAGGAAGGGGACGAACAGTCGGCCGACTTGGCTCTCGTCGCGAGACATTTCCTGCGGGAGCCGGACTTTGTGCTCAATGCTGCCGAGAAGCTGGGTGTGCCGGTCAAGTGGCCGAATCAGTATCACAGAGCGGCGCCGAAGGAGGTTTCTGATGCGTTTTAAGGGCCGATGTCTTTTTTTGTCCCTTGCCTCCCTTGTTTTTTGAGCAATTGGGCAGAACTTGCCAAAACAGGGGGGGTGATGTGAAAGGACTACTAGTTTAGAGCAGAGTGTATGAAAGGAATAGATATGCCGTCATGATGTAATAGATATAGATGTTAGAAATGAAGCAAGGTATAATTTCGTGATGCCGAAACGGCTTATATTCTGAGCGAGATCAGAGGTGGTGTTGATGGCTGACATGCGGGCAAATTCTTAATGCAGCACCATGGCGCAAGACGTGCACATTTAACCCAAACGAGGGAGTGACCGAGCCTTGGACCACATCAATTGCAAATTCCATGTCGTGGCGGCCCGGACAAGGACGAGGCTGGGCAACCCTCGACTCTCTGGCACATCTTCTGATATTACCGATGGTGATGAATGTCGGGCGCCCTGAAGCTCCCTCTATCGTAGCCTTCAATTTGAGCCCTAGAAAAGGAAACTATTGCAGCCAACAGCCTCGAAGGTACAGTTTTATCCCACGTTGACATCTCTTGCCGCAACGTTGGCGATTGTGGAGTTGAAGCCGCCTTTCGTTCGACTTGCAACAACGGCCCAGTCGCATGCCTACTTCCAAGTAACTCATGCTTCATCTATGGCCCATCCCTTTGAGCGGTGAACAGTATTATCGACAATGCAGTGCAGACAACCGAAACACGGCCTCGAAGATGGCCGGACTGGCAGCCGTGAGCGCCTTTCTGACGTAATTTATTACCTCGTGTTTCAAACCCCTCATCCTGTTGCATGTTAGTTTTCAAGCATGTACATTTTGACTCGTCGAATATGCTTTTACTGCTGAGAAAGATGGGTTGAGCAAGCAAACTAGACGTAATTGCTAGGTACCAATATCATTATTATCAAAAGTTCAAAAGGCCAGACGGTCAATGACATGAGCCCCCCCTGTAGGATAGAAAAAATAATGGAACCCAGTTCAAGGGAGAATTTTAGTGAACAATAAGTCTCGCAACGTGGCATTCACCCCTCGTCAGCTATTTCACGACAGCTCATGACAAATTTCTACTACCACCTGACAATGTGTAGCTGTATTCTGAGAACTTAGGCGTCCTCAAAAACAGAAGCCGCGCCCGTAGGTAAGTACTTACGTTGGGCCGCTGGCATCCCCCCCCTTCTTTGAGTCTCAAATATGCTACACCCTGTGCATGTTCGAACTTCAATGAGTATCTTCTCTAGTCATAAGAGGTATGCTGCGGGACTTTATGATTTCAATATTACTAGAAGATAGCGACCAAGGTATCACAAATGAGATAATAATGCATCTTTATGACTCGTAATGCACGGCAATGCAACTCTCTCTTACGGCAATGTCTCACCCCAGCACCTTTTCCCATGTTCTTCTATCTTCTACCACAGGACACTTGCGGTAGTCCTTGGTTGGCTCTCCACGAGCATACTGATTCGTGTCAAGAGGTTTCTGCGGTTATATAAACTCGGCTCTCCTCCCAGCTTTCACATCTAGCAACCAAGCAGCCCCCACCATCAAGTTAGTCTTTGTTCCAAGATATCCCATCCCTCAGTCTCGTGGCTCAGTTTACCAAAACGTCGGGAAACCAATCTCAAACATGCATCTCTCAACACACGTGGCCCTCGCCTTTGCCTCCTCCGCCCTTGCCCTGCTCATCGACACCCCTCAGGGGGCAACAAAGGGTTCTTCCTTGAACATAACTTGGGGCCCGGACCCGGATGAGGTGGTCTTTTACCTCTCCAACAACAATCAATCGTATTGGCCGGTGGGCTTCGCCAACACTACAGATGGAAAAACCACTGCCTTTTTACCTACGACTTATACGTAGTAAGTTTACAGCCGGAAAAATTACAAATGGCATTTTAGAAAACGAGCTCACTGGCGAATGCAGTCAAACGGGCCACATCATTGCGTTTACCAGGGACGGTCGTGGCCCGATTGGAGCGACTCAAGAGTTCCCCGTGAACTAGGTTTGGGCAGGTTGACGTGATGGGCCAAAAGGCAGTTCTATTTCTAGTCGAGATTTCAACATCTTCCAAGGGGCGGCTTTTTCGGAAGCAATTCCTGTAGTAAGCTGCCTATTCTAGCAGCCAAAGCTGCAGATGCACCATCACAACTACAAAAATGTTTGGGTGCAGCAGTGGCCCCGATATAGTTTTACAATTGAGACTATTGCAAAATACTTCCTCTACGCTTAATTCAACGCCTGCAAGTATTGTCAGGGGAATTCTTGCCGTTATCATGTGAAAGAGCCGGAGGCAAGAAGCACACAGATCCCTCTAGCAGGACAAGCGGCACACCAAGACAAGAGAGCGGTAATTGTAGGGAATTCCAGCGGACATAATGAATGTGGGTGACCCCTAAATGTACGACTATCCCGGTAAAAAGGACTCGACATGTCTCTACTTGATATTCTGACAAAGTCATGTCCGGGTTGCCCTTGCCGTATTATCTCTGCGTCGCTTTATTTGCAAGCTGGAGCGTATTCCGACCCATGCAGATGGATTCTTACTTTTTGCCCCAGCAACGAGCCACGCACACTCAGCAGATGGACGTGTTCCCATCATTCCCGCTTTCCGTCCCGGCTTCTGACGGGCGTTTGCCCATTCCCAATGCGCGAATCACTTCGACTACAACGACTACAAGTGGCGGCGACACACACGACTGTAATTCTGAGTCTTTCTATTCTCAGTCTGTTGACCAATCTCATCATTTGATTTTCCACGCAGACCAAGCCCGATCGCTCTACTCCGCACCGGCCGCGCCGACACGGCCCCATGGATAAGTGGGGCGTCCGGGGCCGGGTCTCCGATGCCTACAGTCTGTAGCGGAATATCATTGCCCAGCAAGAAGTACACACTAATATACTATAGTATAGAGCGCGATAGCCAGGTACCTGATCTGGTCAAATACTTTCTGCCCCCCCCCCATTGTATGTACCGCAGATGGTACTTGGTACTTTGTGTTATTACACTAATTATTAACTACTAGGTAGGTTTAAAGCGTATCTACATTCTTATATTTATAGTACTCTGTTAGTAGCCAAGTCAACTTAGATATTGTAATAGGACATCGAGTGAGCAAGTACAGAAATTCATTTGCTTTACGAGATCCTTACGATGTATGGAGACGTTCCGTGTTATATTAGACGCGTACTGTTCTTGACTAGCTAATACTAGCTTGCAAACTCTGTCTAGAGGGGCCAAATCCATTCTGCTAGCTGCGGGAAGCTTCCTGCCATGCCCGATACCAAGCTCGCTGGGCTTGATCTCGCCAATAGTCACGATCGTGCGATGGCTGCTGGTGGTCGCAATACCAATCTTGAGGCTGTCGGGACCTTCGTTGCTGGATTTGATATCAAGCATCTAGCTGTTGGGGTAATTGAAGCTGCTGCCGGTATCTGCGATATTGGGTGCTAGCTGAGCCGAGCTTTCGAAGATGCTGGAGAACCTGATTTCTTGGCCTGAAAGCCTTCTGATAGATGCCAAAAGTTGGACGCTGCTGCTCTTATTGATCGAGTCCACCTAGGGCCATCACCTCGGCAGGCTATTCACAGCTGAAGTAGCTATTGAAGGCTTCGAACGGAAGGTTATGACGTGCGTGCTTGTTAACTGCTAGCTGCCCTTGCAAGATTTGAAGAAGGAAAAACCAAGGCTACAGAAGGAGGTATGTGGTAGCCGTTTAACTGAAGCTATCACAAGGTCTGTAGCTAGTCAAGAATTTGGCTGGGGCATTATAAAGCCGTCGGCGACGCTGAATTGAAGCTTGGTGGATTGAAGCTGCCAAGCGAAGGAAGCTGCCGTACGAAGCATAGTAAAAGGGACGGCTCTGACAGGCTGCGAGTTGAATTGGTCGATGATATTGTTAGATTTACTGGGCCAGTGGCAAGGTAGACGCCTAAGATAGATAGCAACGAGCAAAAGTTCTATTCTACCTTCCCTCTCCCGCCAATTTGTCCTCTAGTTTCCTGTCCATATCATTCAACTGTCTCGTAACTAGCACTTTCCTGGACAGTACTCTTCTCAACTGTGCTCTCCTGAACAGGAAGAAGCATTACGTCCGAGTCATCGATTATCTTAGCCCGTAATCACGAACGAATCACTTGGCACATGCCCGTTATCAGCGCAACCCCAGTTGAACCCATCTGGCGTCAAAGCCTTCGGATTGAGGACTTGCCCCCATCAGCACCGTTGACAAAGGAAGTAGTAACTTGGCTTTCCGTCCCGACCGTGTCGAGCATGGTCATCTTGGCCGAAGATCCATCTAAACTTGTATGGCGAGATGTGGCTCGTAAGGGAGTGAGCCCAGCATCAGTGGGGAGAGCCACGCGAATAGCGACTCAATATTTGGAGTGGAACGACGGGCTTAGCGGCCGCAATACTTGGCTTTATTATATAATTCAACAGACGGCAATTTCGCACACCTGGTAGTCACAATCGTTTCATTCTGCAGCTATGCGACTGGGGACAAAGACTGGTCGGCTGCAGCCATTGCATGTCCCAACATTTTGTACATACTTCTTCGCACCGGGGGCTGAGGTGCAACGTTGACAACGGACCAGTGCTTCGTGGCCTCTTGGAGTTGGTACTAACGACGGGAGTATCAAGGTGCAAGCAAAGTCTGTGCCGGCGTCATCCGTCTCTTGCGATAGATTGCCGCGCGATACGGCGGCGAACTGTACGGAATCCTCCCACACTGACCATGACGCCGCCAGTCGACTCCGTGCTTGTGACAATTAACTAGATGCTTGAAGCAGTAAATAAAGACCGGGATCTGTAGAGAGGTGGCAGCTTGGCAGTCGGTAATCCTGTGCGGAGCGCCGTTGAACTTGTGGCCACTTGTTCTCTCTAGCAATCAGGCCTGCTGCTATCTTTGACTTTGGCAGTTGCCAAGGTGCTCCAGCCGCAGGGCAATGCAGCAGCCATCAAAGGGTACATATAGACTCATGCGTGTGGGGCAATTGAGACATGGCCATTACTTTGTTGATTGACTGAGGTGACCCTGATGGACGGGAGCGATCAACAGTACTATCGATTTGATGATTATCCAGACGCTGCTCTTCCTCAGGAGGAAGAATTGAATGCTACAGATAGACGATGCGTTATACCGTCGGGAGACGACAGGCCAGGGCAAATCATTCGCCGGCGCGAACGAATTCGACACACGGGTTTCGCATAATGGAATGCAGCTGGATGCGGCATGCGATGCAGACAAGAAGAGGCTGAGGCTGAGCCAATGAGAAAGGTCGACTGGTTAGTTTACACACACAGCATGGAGGACACGGTACATACTTAAGTACGAAGCGAGGCAACATCCTGAGCCGACAATCGACTGTCAATTATTATGAATTGAGATGGATGGTGACGGAGAGTTGAGGGCAGGGCTTGGCTGGCAGCTTGAACCGTCTGGTCTGGTCAAGTACGAATAAAGTAGGCGCGAGCTACTACTCCGTACAGGCTCGTCGATTAGATGGCAGCTCCCTGGAGGTACAGTTGATACATAGGCACCTGGGCCCAGTCCGCAGGCCGAGCCAGGACCCACTCCGCAGTGGGCCAGAAGCGCAATACGGGCTGTGACTCGCTGGCTGCAGGTCTGGTGGGCTGAGTGCCGCCGGAGGGTACAAGTAAGCTTGCCGGCTCCCTTTGTGGCATGGAGCGGCTGCACTTTGAGCACAGCTACTAGTTAGTTACTACTAGTCCCTGGGGAAAAAGGGACACTTGTCCAATTCGACTCCAGCCGCGTCTTGTCGAGTGTGCTGGTCAAAGGTACAAAACCTCTCTTATCCCATCGTCCTCCAACAGCACCTCTCGATCCCTTCCTTTCCATCCCCATCCCCCTCCCCATTCCATCAGCCGCACTCCAATCCATCGTGGGCGCATCGTGGGCTTTTTAATTCGGGCTTTGGAAAATATCCCCTCATCTTCTTCTGCCTTTGCACGTTTATGCAGGCCTGTCTAGTGTAGCTCTAGCTCGCCCAATTCACACATCACACACATTATGCAGCACAAGCGTATCGCCTTTGGCCTTTTGGCCGCCTTCGCTTCCCTGGCTTCTGCCGAGGACAAGTCCGATGTTCACCAGCTGACCGAGAAGACCTTTAACGACTTTGTCGAGGCCAACCCCTTGGTTCTGGCCGAGTGTAAGTTCATGCCTTGATTCTCGTTGATCAAACCTGTCTGGCCAGCTGGGCCACGGTGGCAACTTGCTTGCCTCGCCCCATTTGTAAGCTTGCGTACGCTAACTTGACTCTCGACACCTAGTCTTCGCCCCTTGGTGCGGACACTGCAAAGCCCTCGCCCCCGAATACGAAGAGGCTGCCACCACTTTGAAAGAGAAAAAGATCAAGCTCGCCAAGATTGACTGCACTGAAGAGGCTGAACTCTGCCAGAAGCACGGCGTCGAGGGTTATCCCACCCTCAAGGTTTTCCGCGGCGCTGAAAATGCTGCCCCCTACAATGGCCAGCGCAAGGCTGCTGCCATCACCTCTTACATGGTCAAGCAGTCGCTGCCTGCCGTTTCTGCCCTGACCAAGGATACCCTGGAGGAGTTCAAGACGGCCGACAAGGTTGTTGTCGTCGCCTACTTTGCTGCCGATGACAAGGCCTCCAACGAGACTTTTACCAAGGTCGCTGATAAGCTCCGTGACAACTATCTGTTCGGCGGTGTCAACGATGCCGCTGTTGCCGAAGCCGAGGGTGTCAAGTTCCCCTCCATTGTCCTGTACAAGTCCTTTGACGAGGGCAAGAACACCTACACTGAGAAGTTTGAAGCTGAGGCCATCGAGAAGTTTGCCAAGACTGCTGCCACTCCTCTCATCGGAGAGGTTGGCCCTGAGACCTATGCTGACTACATGTCCGCCGGTATTCCCCTCGCCTACATCTTCGCCGAGACCCAGGAGGAGCGCGACGCGCTCTCCAAGGACCTCAAGCCCGTCGCGGAGAAGTACAAAGGCAAGATTAACTTTGCCACCATTGACGCCAAGGCTTTCGGCGCTCACGCTGGCAACCTGAACCTGGAGACTGACAAGTTCCCTGCCTTCGCCATCCACCATACTGTCAAGAACCACAAGTTCCCTTTCAACCAGAACGAGAAGATCACCCACGACGCCATTGCCAGGTTTGCTGACGACTACTCAGCTGGCAAGATTGAGCCTAGCGTCAAGTCTGAGCCCATTCCTGAGAACCAGGACGACCCTGTGACCATCATTGTCGCCAAGAACTACGAACAGATTGTCCTTGATGACAAGAAGGATGTCCTTGTTGAGTTCTACGCCCCATGGTGCGGTCACTGCAAGGCTCTTGCCCCCAAGTACGATCAGCTCGGCGAGGCGTACAAGAAGTCCGAGTTCAAGGACAAGGTTGTCATCGCCAAGGTCGATGCCACCGCCAACGATGTTCCTGATGACATTTCTGGCTTCCCTACCATCAAGCTCTTCGCCGCTGGCAAGAAGGATAGCCCTTTTACCTACAGTGGTGCCCGTACTGTTGAGGACCTGATTGAGTTCATCAAGGAGAACGGCAAACACAAGGCTGCTGTCTCTTTCAAGGAGGAGAGCACCGAGGAGGCTGCCCCTGCCGCTTCGGAGAAGGCGGAGAAGGACAAGGAGGACAAGACTGAGAAGGCTGAGGAGAAGAAGGATGAGGATCACGATGAGCTGTAAATTTGACGAGCAATGTACTGGTTTTAAAAATGAAAGGTTGCGCTTTATGATATCCGAGGGTGGGTTTCAACGCGATGGCTTGAGTATCAAGGCTTTGTAGTTTCTGTAAAATGTACGGACGCTGCTGGATCAAAATTATCATGTTACACGGCTACTTTTCGCCGTCACAATTTCCCGAACGTGTCCATTATCCCGTTTTTTGACATGGTTTAACTTTATATGTATACCAGTTGTGATGTTACAGGCGTACCAGATTCCTAGCAAACTGGCGCTACATGATATGGCCACAGCAATAGCCGGGGACAGCAACGACCCTATTTTTGACCTGCATTCCCACTACTCTTGGACCCATGGCTAACGCTGTTCTTTATTTCTTCTCCTGTGTTCTTTGCTCAAGGGCTTTTACATAGTTTGTCAAGCGGGTAACGGAAGCTTGCAGGGTCTGTAACAAAGTTAGCTGTTGTCGTCTCCAACCCAAAGGCCAGGGCCAGTGTGGGCATCGCCACACATCGAGAGCATAGATCAAATCAGGGGGGCGTGGGACGAACGTAAATATCCTCGCTAAGCATGTCATTGGAAAGCTTGAACTCCTGAACGAGATAGGTATAAACGGCGCTGCCGGAAAGGACACATCCGAACAGGAAGCCAAACAGACTGCGCCAGTCAGTGTCCGTTGCAAGAGCCAGCCGCACACATCCCCCCATCCTGCCTAGTCCAGCAACGTCCAGATGCGTTTCTCCAGTCGTAGGGGTAGAAGGGGAACTCACCCTCCGCGGAAAGCCCCCATCGGCCGCTTTGCCGGAAGAGGCGCCGCATCGGCCATCCGCCTCGCCGACGTGCTGAAGGTGCGCGCGCCCAGGGCTCGGGTCGTGCTCGCAAAGAGAATTCTCGAAGCTCCGGACATGTTGGGGTGTAGTATCGTGGGGAGTATCGTTGGGTGGCGAGTGCTGGATGGGGGGTTTGAAGGAGCTCGGGCGACAGGCGACGGGATGGGCGTTGGGGTGTTTGGAGAGAGCATGAGGTGCTTCGGCAGTTTGGTTGCAGGCGGGTTGAATTGGCCCCGCTTGATTGGGTAAAGCTTCCAAGCGGATTTTCCCGGCGTTTTGGCGGAGCCATGAGCATCTTCCTTCAAAGACGGGCATCTGCTCTTGGAACTCTTCGCAACCGACTGCCCCGCCAAACACCCGTCCACGGTGCGCGAATGGAAACGGCGGCGCCAGGCTCAGCATCATGAACAACTTTGGCGTCATCGAGCTCGCCAGCGCGAAAACAACGTCCGCCCCGGGATGGGCCTACGTACCCGACACGGCCATCGCTCCCGGATCGGCTGGCATCCAGCCTGCCAACAGGAAACGGGCGCGCAACCCGGCCGGAGGAGGACCGAGCTTAAGCGATCTAACAGCGAGACAAGAAAACAAGATTCGCAAGGAGGTCGAGGCCCTGGGGAAGGACGGTTCAAAGGATAATACGATTCCCCTACCGGCGAAGAGTGGCCGCAGTACGTATCATTACACCCCAGACTCCCGGGACTGTTGAGAACGTGCGAGATACTCATGGTCGAAAGCGCAAACGAAATTCACCCCCAACGTGCGAAAAGTAATGCAGTCCCAAAAGACATTCGCGAACCACCTCGACGACTACCTCGCCCTCCAGGCCCTCGAGGCCCAACTATCTTCCAACGCGAGCAAGCGGCCCGGGGCCGGCAAAAAGGACACTGCGGCGTCCACACCCAAGAAATCTACTCATGATGAAGACGTCGCCATGGCGGACGACTTGCCCCCCGTCTTGCCGCCGCCGGCTAAAGCGCCGCCCGCGCCGCACCCCGGTGATGACGACCCGCTCCTCGTGTCTCGTGTGCCAGAGATGCCGTCGGATGCGGAGCTGCGCAGACTATTGGCGCACCCGCCGTTGTCGTACCTCGAGGCGTTGGGAAACCTGGACGACAGATATCCGAGGAGGGTGTTTTGTGAAGTTTGTGGGTACTGGGGACGGGTGAGGTGTTTGAAGTGCGGGACGAGAGTTTGTGCGCTGGATTGCTTGGAGACGCATAGGGAGGAGTGTGTGACTCGATATGGACTGTGAGCCGTGGACGGACGGCCGATTCAGAACCGACTACAAATTTGAACCATGGGCAAAGAGCCGGAGGGTCCATGACGAAGTTGAGTGAGTCTCCTCATGCAACTGGACGACGAGATATTCGGGGAATGGTCAATTATGCAGTCTTCCCGCTGGAAACGAGCTGTTGGCTTTGGAGCAATACCTTACAGGAGAGATGTGTGGTGTGCTGGGAACGGCTGGGTTAGGCGTTTTGCATTGCTGGCGTTTAGCATGGATGGATGGAATGGCATGATACCCAAATAGAAGACCGACTGTATGGCTAGGTCCTTCGTTTTCACAAACCCTTTGCTTTTGCCACTTGCAATCACATGTCGCGTTTCGTTTGAACGGTATTCCTGTGTCATTTCATCGAGGCCTTTCATTACCCGATTCTCTCTGACGTTGGGCCAACCGTGGCCGAATGTTTCATAGCTCAGTTAAGAGCCAGGCGTCGTATTTCATTACATGCAGACGGCACGACGTCCCTGGGACAGAGGTATTCAAACCACACTCGCGGCAACATGTTGGGGGCCTGCTGGCGCTGTGTGTCAAATCCCACCTTTCACTTGGCGATGAGGGGAGTCATGCCACTTGCCTCCAAGTAACTTACTCCGTAGGTATCAAGGGTATCCTGTGCTTGCCCCCTTCAAAAAGAGGCTTTCGATATTTAACCTCGACTTTTTACCACCCCGCTTCTCACAGCGGCCCGAAGAACCGGCCGAGTGCCACGCCGTTGGGCCTTCAAGCCATGCCGTCTGCACCGGTTGATGCTCTTAAGAAGGGAGGGCGCACAGATATAGGTCTGATGTTTCCTTGACGTAATGGTGATGCGAGCATCCTTTCAAGAGGCATTTAGCCATATGTTGCCCAAGAGGACGATGAGATGCTTGAGACCATCTCCAACTCTACTATAAAGAGAACAAGCATTTCGTACCACTTGGAATGACCAAGGATGGACTTCCCCGACGTGTTCAAGTACACAAGTACAAACAATGGCATCTTGCCAGCTACGGCGTACCGGATGGCACCGAATCTACAGCGTATGAATGTGGTCACCTGGTTGATTTGGGCCGTGGCACTCAAAGCATCAAAGGTCTCTCGGTGCTCAGAGTAAGCGTCGATGGTGACGACACCGTGAGTAAAACTAACGCGACTCAGAAGCCTGCCGCCTACTGGCTCAGCGACAGCAAAAGGAACCCTGTCGAGAGGATTGCTAGCATCTCACCTGCCGACGAGAAACTCCCGAGGAGGCTGCCCATGGCAGGATTGTTCAAGACTAGAAGCTCTTTTCTTAGGACGAGATGTATCCTGATTCGACATTTGGGCCGCTGCACATCACCCATGTCTACGAGCAACTGACGGCGCTGATGAAGGGAGAGCACGGAAACCGAGGTTTCAACAAGGCCGTGTCACCTGGCATATACAGGGCCCATCTCTGGAAGGTCTCTGGCCACCAGGACCACGGCGAGGAGAGCACATGTTCACCTTTGACATGGAGGAGAGGCATAGGTTGGCCTCCACCTTGCCCTGTCATGGCAATGTCTTTGCTCACTCAGACGTCACGCATAAGGACTTGACAGGCGCAACCAACTCAAAGCATCTCACAGCCGAAACATCCAGTGCTCTTACTGGCCTTGTGGGCGTGCGTTTATTCCAGTAGCATGATTCTAGTATCTTTTCAGGATCGCTAGATGCACAAAAAATGCGTTTCTAGCCTCGGCAGGAGGCGCGTGTGAGGACGTATGCTCTCGAGATGATAGATCCAAAAGAAAACAAAAGGTACTTTCGAATTCTTGTACAGTTTCTGAGGCTTGCATGGCCTTGATTTATGTTGAAACTGTCTACGCCGCCAGAAAAGTATATCGGCAACATTGCCGTTTGATATATAGCGAGTCTAGCCTCGAGCATGTTCTGTATTCTTTCGCTCTGAGAATCGGAGCTCAGGGGGGGCGGAGAACCATGGCATGGTTGTGGTGCTTCCTATGACTCCAAGACCTTACCGTACACGACATCCTGAGACGAAACCACTAATGCTGCACGATTCTGCCTCATTTCAACCTGTCCCGGTGGTTCGAGCGTCGATATGTCCAGGCCAAGGACTTGGCACTCGCGGATGGCGCCTGCGTCGAGAAGGACTTGCTCGCAAGCCACGCCAGCCCAGTCACGATTCACTGGGCATTTCCGAGACAATGATTGATACCCTAACGGAGCGTCTTGCGGGCTCGTTCTGGCTCAGCCCTCAATAGGTGTCGGTAGTGCCCGCCATGACCTCCGCCAACAGCTACGTCAAGGAAGTGAAGCAGGCCTGCTACGAAAGTGAGCCTGTTTGCTGACCTCAACCACTCAACCGCAACACACGTTCCAGAATGGGGTTCACAGGGCGCAGCTGAACCAATATTGTGCAACATCATCTTCGGCAAGTCCTTGTCAAAGAGTTTCCACTCCCCCGTGGCTCGTTCTCTCACCCTCTCACCAGCAGTCTGTGACGGCAAGAACCGTTGGGCACATTTCCATGTTTTTAGAACAAAGAAGAGCCCTTGCCGTAGCATGCTCATATACGCAACACCTATCAATGCCGCCGCCGACCCTCCCTCCCATTCAACACCATCACGTGCCAACACGTTTTCGTCTTTGCAATAACAGTCCCTGGAGTGTGAGGAGGAGAAAGTCACGCGCCGTCGAGGTGCTGCAGTCGCGAACGGCGACCAGACAAAAACCGAGCTTATTCCCCCTGCAAGACGCACCAGAGCAGCCGGGCAAGCTCACGGATGAGAGACGGGTCAGCACAGGTGCTACAAGCGGAAAATCATACAGACACTTGAGAGGAATGTCATTTCTTTTCCTTGTGGTAAGAGCGGCAAAAGGGCAGTGAGCGAGGACGAGCGGTGACGCATCATCCAAAACTGCATATATGGGACGTGGTGTGGCACCACCGTGTTGCTATCCAGGACAAGGATGATGATATATGACGTGTTGGAGGGGACATGACCTGCAGCGGATAAGGAAACCAGTTCTTCGCCTCCCCTCATGCGAGGAACCTTGCCGGAGCGTCATTGCCCCCAGAACGGAGTAACTTTGATAAGTTACTGGGTAGTTTATTGAGGCGTAACTGCACGGGGATGGATCTATGGGGAAATGCGAGTGAGGGTACTCCGTAGGATAGGATAGGATACTAGCGAGCGGTGGGGAACAGACAAGAGAGCATTTCGAATATGACTGCTCCGGCTCGCGTCTCCCATCTATCTTGCGGGACGATGTCGCTATTTGGAATTATCTTCACGCCGCTCGTACATACATGCCCCAGAGGGCTAAGCCATCCGCCAAGGTCAGGGATGAGATGAAGAGGCTTTGCATTCATGGCACGTGTTTGACGGCCGAAGCAAAAAGGTTGGCGTCGGCAAGAAAAAATGACTGTTCGAAAGTGTCTTGTGATTTGCAACCAAGGGTCTGTGGGCGGCCAGCCGGTTTTCAGGGTCAGAAACAAGGCCGAGTTTTGCTAGCTTCGTAGAAAAAAATATCCATCCCTTTGTTTGGCAGAGCACGGTCCACTGGTTTTAGGATAAATGTGGCTGTGGAGGAGAGAGGAAACATGCCCAACTCCATAGTATTGATGGATGAGGTGAAAGGAGCTGTCACCTTATACACATGCCACGAGTCATGAAAGGCGTGTTGTAAATGATATGGTCGATTGAGCCAGGTTGGGCGTTTCTAGCGGGATTTGGTCACATATCCATGAGTCTACCGAATGCTGTAGCCTGTAGTGATGCTTCCATTCGCCCGTCCTGCTTCACCTATGGGAACTCACTTCGATAGTCCAATCTTGATGCCAGAGTGTGTCGGTCCATGGACATGCAGATATGCCTGTGACTGTTGACAATTCACTCGGCTACTGAAGCCCTGCGTGTTGAAACTGTACCTGCCGCAATGAGGAACAAGCGCAAGTACAAGAACAACTTTAGCTGACATGTTCTCTGCACTCCGTAGATCACCACAAATCAGTGCAGTGCTTGGGTCCAGTTGTTGCGTTGCCTCCATTATCTCTCCATAGCAAAGGCGGGAGGTTGGCACGAGCTTGTAGGTGCCGCCCATTGACCTTTTTACAGCCTCCTTCCAGCTGTCTTCTTGCAGCGCAACTGAGTCTTCTAAAGTAGGGCCAAATCCAGCAAGAGCGTCGTAGTAGGCCACATGTATTGAATACTCCATAGATAGGGCAGAGAAGCTACGCGCCGGGGTGCAGGGCGCGCATCGACTCATATCATGTTATGCCGTACTCCGCATAGTTGATGTATTGTATAGTTCCATATTGAGGTGACGCACATCGATACTGCAAGGGGCCGGGATGAGAGCCTGGGTGGAACATGGACAATCAGGGTTCGCCCAACAAGGGAGTTAGATCGCAGAAAACAACATGTGTACGACATCAAATTCATGATGGACTTTCATAACCACGAAACCGTTGTAGTGGGGGAAGAGGGCACGTTCATGAGAAACGAGCAAAGCGGCTATTCAATCAACGACTACCCCGTACCTGGGCTGGAGAGCAAAGGGTGGTGTGACACAACGTCCAGTGACACAGGGTATGCATAGCGGACATTTCTGTAAGAGGAAATCAGCCGTTGATGCCAGGGCTGCCGCAAGTTCGGGATCAGCCTGAGCCGACGGATTAACAAACCGTGGAGGTTGAATCTTGCGATACGTAGGATGAAAGAAATATATTTTCCGGGCCCAGTTTGACAAGTCCGGAGAGCGAGAACAAACAACATGCAGCGCTTTCCGAGTCCACGTGCCAAGTTCGATGTTTCAACGAGCCGTGAAAGCATCAACGAGACTACTAGTAGTCCTCGACTCCGGAATGTGCGTCGCAAATAGCAGCGAGAGAAAAACAACAGCCCGACACACCATGCAGATTGCATACGGCTCAAAAGGCCAACGGAGGTGTAGCGTACGGAGCAGTCTCGTCCGGCTCAGAGGCCTCAAACCATCCACCGCAGATACAAGGCAGGGCGAAACCAGAGGCATGAAAATCCAGCTTAGCGGTGACACTTGCACGACATGCGGCGTGATATGTCACATGTGGACACCAGACTCTTCAAGGGCGGGGCTGGACAGTGCTGTCTGTCCACGAGGTTGGATTCCAGAATAGGCTGGAGTAGAACAAATAGTAACCCTGCCACGGCGTTTATTCCAGACGCTGTACAGAGTACTCCGTAGTATGATACTTAATAATAGAAGCGAGATGCGTCTGGAAAGCGAGACAACTGATGAAAGCCAGGTGACAGATGGGGCCGAAGTGGAATGACTAGTATACGCCATAGGGAGTACGGAGTACAATTGGGCGAAAAGGACCCCTGATGAAGCAATTCAGCATAAACCTGGGACCGCTCTGGCCACTCATGAGCTTTTGAATAGCCGAGGATGAGACCGCGGGGTAAGCCAAATGGTCGGTTCGCTTCAGACATGCTCATCTCCTTGAAGCCAGCAGCATCAGCTGTCTAGCACATGCAGAATTAGAGGTCCCTGGAGCAGTCTGGTAGCAAAAGTCAGGGATTAGTAGGCGTTGGAGTCTTGGTGTTTGGACAGGGGGTTCCTCACCGGTGTGGACCCCAACCCTCCAACAGTTCCAACGGGGACGCATTGATGCCAATCACCAAATCAGGAAGATTGCAAAGTCGAAAAGGAATTGCAACCACAAAAGGCCGTCTTATAAAGCAAATGTACATAGTAGCGTGATGGGTGCGATGTAGCCAGACGCTGGCATGGCCACGCATCAGCCAAGCCGTGTCCAAGGGCTTTCCTAGAACGATGCCATGGAACATTCACGACTGCGTGTCTCGGGGCTTCCTCGAATGATGCTCACAGCGTCATCTACACGACGAAACAAGAGTGGTGACTAGTCGACCAGAGCCGGCAGAACAAGGTGTGGAGCATCAAAACATACCCTAGCAAGCGGCCCGTGAGGCGTGAGAAGAGGTGGGTGTACTCCGTACCATGGGGCTTATAGGGCCGGGGCTTGAAGCAATACATCATTTATCATAAAAGACGGGAGCACAGACCAGTGGGACAGATTCACCAAGAAGTCGTACTGAATACAGGCTCCAGGACTGTCTGAACTCTCTCCAAGATTGGCCCCCGGGTTTTGACTGGAAACAGGAACTGTCCTCGGCTCTACGGTCCCTAATTTAATTTCAGATGTCAGTTGTATCCTCAAGATGCAGTATCTACAAAAGTCCGAAGTTCAAGCAGTAGTACCGGGGGCTACCTAATAGTTCAACGAGCCGAGTTGGGCTCATGGATTTCACTCGCAGTGATCATCTTGGCGATCGAGGCATCAGGGTCGAGAAGGACTTTGGACGTCTTGGAGTGCACTCGTCGATAGGCTGTGTCGGCTTCTCCGTGTATTGATTGTATTATATCGTATTATTGCCCTCCGTGCCGAGTATGCAACTCGCCGCACTTTCAGCGCAGGCCACTGCGGTGGTTTTGTCCTGAGGGGAGCCAATGAGTGTGGAGGTGACAATCCAGATTTTGCAATTCTGTGCTGGCCGCGCTAGTACCAATGTGGACAACAATCAGTGGAAATTTGACGGAGACAAAACCCTGGACGAAATGCGCCTTACGGAGTACCGAGCTTCGAAAATTTTGCACCAATAATTAATTGCCAGTTGACCTCTTTGCTGCCTGGGGCTCGTTGGAACGGTGCAAGGTGAGCTGATGATGGCTTGCACTGTCAGCCATGTAATACGGAGCATGGACGATACCTACCTAGGTACCTGATACTAATACGGAGTACACAGGTTGACAGGTACCTGGAGTATGGAGTAAATGCTTCAGGCTTGACTCTCCTCATGTTGCACTTCGCACCCCTGCCCGGCATACTGTAGGGGTAAAAAACTGATGCATCTGAAAGAAAGTCATGCCATCATTTGAGAAGGCCGTGAGTGATTTTTAGGCATCGAGTTGAACCGGCTGACGATTACTCCATACACGTACCTGAATGGAGAGAGCGAGGTAAATAAATCAAGCCAAATAATAATAATACAATAACATAAGATTTGAGAGCCGAGTGGGAAGCTGAGGCAATGGTTGCATCAAGTCGAGGAGCAAATGTTGCGGCGTCGTGGATGTTTTTCAACGGACCAGGTGCTTGGAATTGGTCAATGTTGCAGAAAGCCATCTAGATTGCAGATTGCATGCTGAGGTACACGCAGCCAGAAGGCAGGCGGCGAAGCCAATTACTTCGTATGTGCCATTTCATGGCAGATGTGTGCCTTATTCCTATGGAGTGCGGAGCAGCGCAGGAGCACTGCCGTTCCTGCCGAACCTACCACGTAGGTACGTACCGGCGCGCTTTCCATATCCCAGATGTGAGCAGGAAACGTCCATGTATTTCAAAAAAACTCGAGTTCAGAGTTCAGAGTTGAGATGCAATGCGAATCGCGGTTCAGGGATCGACTCGGACGTCCCAGACAGAGCCTTGGTCCACCTTACGGCCAACTCGGCTCGACGGTGGGATGCGCATCAGTCTCCAGGACGTCGTACTCCGGACTCGGTGCCCCAAGATGGACCACACACACGCCCGTTTGCCAAACCAGCCAAAACAGTCACCGAAGGCGTACAAGATTTGAGCTATCACCAGCCTCCAGCAAAATATCGACTTTGTGGTAGGAACTGTTGATACTACCTACATATGCGCGAGGGAGAATGTCACACCAGTCCAACCAGCCTGGCAAGCTGGCCTGCATCAGCATCAGAATCAACGATAGATTCAGTATCCTGGTCGGTCCATCGCACTAGTTATTTGTTACCCACTTCGACAGCTGGTGTATTATCAAGCCCACGTTGTTGACAATCGCTCCAACCGTGGGTACTCCGTACAGGAGGACTTATAAAAAACCGCCACTGGCAATCGCCTTGCTGTCATTCCCCTGCTTGCCTTCTTGCTCAAGTCACCTACCACAGCCCTCGGCCAAAAAGTCCGGACACAGGTGTCCCTCAATCGGGTCCTGGCTCGTCTTAGGACTTCAACCCTGCATCTCGGAGCCTTACAGTGACACCAGCCCAGTGTCAGTCACTCTTCGACCTTGAGACGGAGCTGGTTCTGGCAGTTGGCATATCAATATCCGCCTCGTTGAACGCGACTACTTCGACTCCGGGGGCCATCTTGCCGCACTGGTTTGCGAATTGCAACAGGTGTAGACGGAGTTGGTATCGGAACCAGGGGATCATCAGTCGTACCAGGTGCATGAAAGCGACAGCTTCCTGTACTACATGTCCGCTTCCTCAAGCCTCAAGACGTTCAACCGTGACACAATTTTTCTCCTCTCGACTTTTCCAGCATTGACATCCTCTCCTCATGGCTGGCCTTCTCCATCAGCCAACTGTCTCGGATCGTACTGGCGCAAACATCCAGTACCATTTGCCCTCATCATTTCCAGAAGATAGAGCCTTCTCTCTGGGACCGAGCAAAGTAAGGTTGTCCTACGTCGACAAATAAGATCCAAACGCTGCACTAGACTCTTTTGAAATCTTGTTCCTTGCTTTGATCTCACGTTACACACCTTCGCCCCCGAGACTCGATAGCCTCAGGCCAACTATTCTGGTTCTGATTTCGTGCTTGGAGCTGCAACTTGATCACTTTGCCTTGACCGTCGTCTTATCCGTACGTATTGACCGTCCTAGCGTCCTTACTACCCTTGGGCCGGATCGTCGTCCTAACACGCACCGCTCAGAAAGAAAGAAAGAAAAAAGCAATACGCCCATGCTTGGCACCACATCAGCGCCGTCCCCCGCAAAAGCAAAAAAGGGACATATTACATCGCCTAACTGGCTACCCAACAACAAGACGAACCAGGGGAGGCGTCCCAATCAGTGAACAATTAAAGACGCAGCCGTAACTACTCTGTACTGAGTAGTGACAAATCTGATCGAAAGCTTAAAAGAGTTTTTAGTGTCCCAAAAGCAGGCCCTGGTTGTGATACATCAGACTGGGCCGAGCCTAGGGATAACGCCAACTGGTTTGAGCCAGTGAAGCTCTGGAACGCAGGAAGCAGGCTCTCGCGTACTTCCGGCTGGCAGGCATTCAAATACACTTCGAGAGCCGCTGTCGTTGGCACCGCCATGCGCTCGTCATATTCGTCGACGGAACAGTCTCATAGCGACTCAGACTGGTCGCAGCAGGATGAAGGCGGCTCTCGCGTCTCGGGGCATTGCGTCGAAGTTGTCTCTCCCAATACCGACCACGACCACGACCACGACGGCATTGACACTTACAGCGAAGTAACACACACTGGTCGCCAATGTCCTAGCTCGGGCCTGCTTGCGACGGATACCCAACACGACGCCCAAAACACCACCACAGCACACAACTCTGATGAGAACCAATTTTCCCATTGCATTCCTGCTGTCTACCCCACTGATCAGTCACACCATTCGCCATTGCCAGAATATCATGATAGCGATGATGATGAGGGTATGAGCGATATTGATGGTGGTGTGTCCCTTGACCAAGTTTCCTCCGTTGCCCGCATTGAAGGTTATTCTGGCTCACATCTTGCTGCGGCTGGTGTTGACTACGACTACATCGAGAGCAGCGACGACAACGACGGGGAACTTGACATTGATCAGGATTCAGACAACGATGGGCCTCTCCCCGCCCAGGCTTTCGACCCATACCTCAACTTTAACGGCCCTCCAAACTTCCCTTTGCATTTGCATAGCCTTTACGGCTCTGCGTTCATGATGGGCACGGAATTTCCCCCTCAGACATGGGCTGGCGCAAATGGCCCTGGGTCTCTGCTGGCACCAGAAGTGGACATGACTGCGTTCCATGATTCGAATGATACTCTTCCACCTGTCCAACTTAGCAATCCAAATCCAGCCATTCCTGGAGCCGAAAACCTTGGTCTCATTGACTTTCTCCGAAGCTGGGCGTATCAAGGCAGTTTCACTGACAGCCCTCGATCTCGCCCACCACATCTTGGTCAAGTAATAAAACAGGCTGGTGCCCCCATCAAGGAGATTAGACATTCAGATCTCCATGGCGACGAATGTGATTTTCAGGGCTTAAACTGGAAAATGATGGAGACAACCCGGGGCAATGCGAGGGCGAGGCGCATTCGCACGTACAAAAATTACGTCAACCAGCCCGGGTCTGATATAGTAGCCGTATGTGCAAAAGCCGCAATGACACTGTCACGCATTCCACACTACATATTTGCTAACATTTCAATGTAGCCTCACATGGATGACGAGGGCATTCCTTCTTGCGAAAGTTTCTTCCGATTTGGAAGGATGAATGTTCGACAAGACGTTCATCTTGCTCACTTTCAGCTCCGAAATGTTCTAGCTTGCCCTTCACGGACACACGCCTACTATCCCAGTCCGACAGGTGTGAATAGGGTTAATACAGTTTTTCGTACTACCGATGTCGTCATGAGTACGCGTGACTTCCCAGCCATGGGCGCCGCACTTTCAAGCCTGGATGCGGCTTGTGGAGTCTTGATGGGTGGAACATTTGGTGGTGATTATTACCTCAAGTCCCTAGAGTGTGACGACAAGTCAAGGTCCAGCGAAGGTCAGATAACGTCAGACTTCAGCGGAATCACGAATCACATCAAGATATACCGACCTCGCCGCTCCTGTGGCCCAGTAGCAGCAATTGCCAGCAATGACTGCGGGTTCCGAGTCATGGATATTGGGACAGAGCACTTTGTTTCGGAGACGACATACCCCTTCGCTCTCAACTGCTCAGCACTATCTCCGGATCACCGCCTTCGTGTACTTGTTGGTGATAGCTCCGAGGCTCTTATCACAAACGCAGACACGGGTGAAGTCCTACAAAAGCTTGCGGGACATCGCGACTACGGTTTTGCCTGCGATTGGTCTGAAGACGGGCGGACGGTAGCAACCGGTTTCCAGGATCGTGGCGTGAAGATATGGGATGCGCGTAGATGGTGCAACTCTAGCGGCATTAGCACTCCATTGTACACTATTCGATCGGAGATGGCCAGTGTCCGCGGCCTTTGTTTCTCGCCCCTTGGAAGTGGCAAGCCAGTGCTGGTGGCAGCTGAGGAAGCAGACTACATCAACTTTATCGACGCGCAAACGTTTGCGTCCAAGCAGACCATTGACGTGTTTGGTGAAATTGGCGGCATTGCATTTGCCAATGACGGGCAAAACGTCAATATCCTCTGTTGTGACAAACACCGTGGCGGTCTGTTGCAGTTGGAGCGATGTGGACGCCGACCAGAGCCACTGCTTGAAAATCTAGAACAGCGCCGGGCGACACGCTACCGATATTTTACAGAAGATGACCATCAACTGTTCCAGGACAAATGGACTCTCAGACGCAGATCGGCTTTTTATGAGCAGAACCTTGACCCGTTCTAATGCCATCATGACACTGTTTTATTTCATGCCCCTTTATTTATATATTTAATGACGCCATGGCAAAGCCGATCAAGACCACACAAACTCGATACATGGTATCCTCCTCATTTATACGTTTAACACAATTGTCGTCCACGCTGTCAGCATATCATACTGACAGGCCTTACACGTTTGATGCCCTTTGCTTTTTTGCCTTATACCCCTGAATAATTTCTAGGCATTTTCCCTCAGCAATACTAGCTTATTGCATGTTTTGGTTTCATTATATTATCAATTACTCGACACGACACCGTGGTGTCTAGGCGTTGGATGTTCCCACTATGGTCTTGGGCCCTTGCACACGTTTGCAATACACATGGCTTTCGCAGTCAAAAGGGGGGAAGCTGCCTCTCGTCTGGCTCGGTTTTGTGTTGACGCAGAGCTACATGATTACCAAGTCAAATCATGGCAAAATAACGGTATGTCTTTGCAATGTTGTTTGATGTTAGGAACAAAGACCTATGTTTCTATATATATCGGGCTTCACGCGTCTATTTACTTTTCCGGTTTGGCCTGTTTGTTGCGTTGTTTGCAGTTAGATTGCATATTCCCTGGCTTTCATCATTGCCGGCTTTTCTTCATCACATTAGTCGAATTCGATGGGAATGAGTGCAACGTTGAGGGGGCTTGTCCTTTTTTTTGGACCTTTTTTTTGGATGACTGAATTGGTTCGATATGGACAGAGAAAGCACTTGGCAGCTAGGTTGGGAGCACTTATATCTGGAGGGTTAGGGATATCCACATATACAGACATCTTGGGTGATTAATTGCATTATTTGCTTGGTGGCAGTTTGCCCTACCTGGTTTTGAACATGCATGACTACACGAGTATGTCGTGTGCGTATGGTCAATGGCGAACCATTATGTTGGCTATTACCCTGCAGATATTGGATATAGGGTGGTCGTTTGGCATACCAAAGTAGAAAGATAAAGTTGTATTTATAGCTAAACACACTACGGAGTAAAAGGTATAGAGTTTCATTGCCAGGACGAGTTGACGAGCCCATGATGAACACTTGATCCCTGAAACGGGGACCTGGCAGTCGATAACGTGGGCAGTACGGAGTACTAAAGTCGCAAACAAGAATGGATACCCGAGGACGAGGTCTTGGGGTGCACACATATTGCCTCATCGGCCATTTGGCCCAAGCGGGAAAAAAAAAAAAAAACAATAGGGGTGAGACATGCCGGAGCGTGATTTTTGCGCAATGCATATCCCTTTGAATGTCTTAAGGTCCATTTTTCGTACCGGGCAGGGGTTCTAGCCAATGAGAAAAACCGTGTTAAATGGTATAAATTCCCACTTGAGAAGTAATATAATAGTATAAGTACCAGTAATAATTAAATTTATAAAGAGCTACATCTTCCTATCGTGAATAATACTATTACTAAAGACGTACCTGTTAGGTATCGCAGAAAAGTGGGTCAGATACCTCACTTGGGCCTTAACACACTCAAAGGCATCTTGATCGAAACATGCCTGGCCTCACTCACGTGATGGTGACTGAACTCAGGGTTGGGTGGTTGAAGATGCTGTGTGGCGGAGGCTGTACCGTGCTGAGTTTTCGCATATGTTGATTTATTTGTCATTTATTTTGTCAGTTTCTTCTTTCAAGTATATTATCTTTTATACGGAGTATTACGCCTATCAATCCTGACAGGTTTTAAATGTTCCCCGTAGCTCTGCGTCCTTTGTACGGAGGTGCTTCCGTATGACGTCGCGCCACGTCGTGGGTGTGCAACTCGCGAGAAGGTTTTGTGCTCCGCAGGGAGAAAAAGGGTGTGATACTTGACATGTTTGCCTGTGGTGGCAAGTGTCTCAGTCGTGTAGATTTTCACCCTTTTATTTGCAATTTCTTGGTTTTTTCGGCCTGCGGGTGGCTGGGCGGGACCGTCTTTTGGGTCAGTTGGCAGCCTGGGCTTTTATTTTTATTTTTATTTTCATGGAGAATGGAGGATGGCAAAAATACGGAGTACCAGTGGGCGATATTTCGGGAAAGGCGTTTTATTGCCGCGAGGCGTTTAGTTTTGTTGGTTGGGTTGCCGCGACTTGCGGGCGAATTAGGGCAGGGTTATCCGACTTTTGGGGATTTGACAGGGACGTGTCTGGCCATGTTTTCAGCTTGCTTGTTGGGTCGTCGTTTCGAACCTAGACGTCTTCAACCCGCCCTGCTGTTTCGACGGGACAGTGCGGTCTGAAGATTGCTTATATATATGTAGCCGATGTGGTGGCATCCGGATTGTGCAAGTCGGGGCCAATCTTGTGCTTTCAGACGACAACACACAAGCACACATGGCTCGCGGCAGGAATACGACGCAAACCGTCTTGGTACCACCCATGAGAAGATTCTGGAAACCCCATCGACGGTCAAGGCCCTCGCCTAATGGTGGGCAGGTTCCGACTACAAGTCTACAGAGGAGCAGCAGTATCATCAATATTTGCCGCCAACCAAGTATACACTCTCATCTTAGTGCTGCTCCTGCTTCTAATGAGTACTTTTTATGCCTGCCAGCCGTCTCAGGTCTCGCGATCCCGAACGCCAGTGTAAATGGCGCCCAGACGGCCCAGAATAGAAACGCACTACAATCCCCTTCCAAAACAACCAAACACGGCGCAAAGGCCACAAACAAAGAGAGAAAAAACACAAGTCACAGGTCCACGTAGCCCAATCTCCCGGGGGGCAAACAATCAATGCCGCCTTGCCAGCAAACTCCCCACAGACCGCCACGCATAAACACCCAACCGCCGATCCACGCTCCAGCTCTCGATACCTCGGGAAGCAAAGACAATAAACACGAGACTCCACCAGCCCGCTTCTGCTGCCAACACGCAGAAACATGTTGGAAAAAAAAAAAAAAAAACTTCCCGCTCGAACCCATAAGCCAGCCCTGCGCGCCCGCCCCTCCACTTGCACGTTTCACAACACTATCCAAATTATCGCGCGCGCAGATTCCCCAAAATCTCAGTGGGACCAGGAAATAGCGCACACCCAACACAAAGGCGTTTCACGGGGCCACTTGAAGAAAAAAAACTAAACCTTGTTTCTGGCTCACTGCCGCACCCCCCAAAGGTCGCGTCAAGTCATGGGATGCATGTCTCGCACCCCCCCCCCAAAAGACACGATCATGTAGTGCTCACAGCCACCCAGCTGAAATGGCAAACCTTGACTTTTTCGCGCAAGGCCTAATCTCCATCCCTTTGAGTGCGGTAAGGTGCAGCTTTTGTATCTGCCATAGAGCACCCTTATCAAGTATCTCTACCTGTATCTTGGCCAAAAACGCCATTAATTAATGTACCAAGTACTATTAAAAATACCTTTGTGCCTGCTTATTTCTGAATCCCCATTGAATACCGTATTGTCCCCGTAGAAGACTTTACCTGCACCTTACCCTACCTCAAAGGGATGCCGGTGCTCCCGCGCCAGGCACGTATATATTTTGAGTGTCAAGGTGGTAAGAAGCCTGCAATGCTCTTCGATCAAGACCTCGACTCCCAAAGTTATTTGAGAAATCTCGGGAAATTTTAGGTACCCTCAAGACCCATTTTCCTCTTGTAGGGCCTTTTTTAGTTACTACGTAGTTATTTATTAGCTCACTTACCCGGTCACGCATGATTTAACATCCAGGGGGGGGCTGTATAGATTAACCCACATCACAAAGCCAACCACATGGCACCATGCTACCATCAATAAGCGATATATTCAAGTCTCCAGCTTCAAAATACAGCTCAACCCAAAGAGGCTATTGAATTATGACATTATGAGGCAGATGCTAAATGTACAAAGAAAGATCCAAATATGTTGCTTGTCACAAGAATAAACACCAGAGACTCCATCAACGTAGGGGGAAAAGTTTGTAAATGGAAAGATGGGAAAAAGCCTCAACCGCCATCATCAAGACCTTTTGCCTTCCATCCCACCCATTGTGCGTCTATGGATGACAAAAGTGGCTCATGTCTCGCCTCTGATCATGTAGCTCTTGTATGATCCGGATCGGTTCGCACTGGGATCTTTTCACTGCTTGGCTCATATACATTCGGCGGAGGGTCGCCTGGAGGAGCCTCGTTGCGGGACATTGAGGCATGCGCCTGCTGAGTGAGGCAACTGCAGCACCAACCATCATAGTCTTTCCCTACGATGAAACCTTGATGTTGAAAGCGGCACCGAGACCCCAGCTGTCCTCGCAACCGCAGCTGCCCTTCTGCTTCCATAGGTCGTTCTCCAACGAGAAAAAGATGACCTTGTTACCGCACTGCTCCCGGATCGACTTGACAGCGATGGACTGCGCATCGAATCCAACCACGGCGAGGCCGTTGTTCGAACCGCTAGAGGGCCAACCGACCTCTAGAGTGATGACGTCCTTGTTGCAAATATTCTTAAGAAGATTAATCTGGCCCTGGACAAATTGACCGGCCTCACTAGGAGCGACTGCGTCGTTGAAGTAGGGGTGAATGTTGGCACCCATAATGTCAACGCAGGGGCACATCATGGAGGACACGTCCTCGCGCTGCCAGATGTTCAGAGTCTCAGAGATGGTGACCTTGCCACTGAATTTGCTAGAGCACTTGCCCTTGACGTCGGTAATCAATTGCTTGAGTTCCTGGGGGGAGCAATAGTTGTTCATGATGGCCTCGTTACCGACAACGAGGAGCACGACAAGATCCCACTTGCCCCAGGCAACGAGCTTATCAACCTGCTCCTTGATGTCGGGAGTATTGATGCTGCAACCAGAGGACTTGACGAAGACACCGACAATCATCTTAACACCATGCTTGGAGCAGGCATTGCCGACATTCTCCAGTGTGTTGCAGTCAGTCGAGTAGACACGAACCACAGAGAAACCAGCTTGCTTGATGGCTGAAATATCAGAGTCGACCTGTTCGGCCGTCTTGCACTGGCCAGTGGAGCCCACATAGGGAGTGTAGGTCATCCCTAGATGGTCATTATTGCTAATCAGATCACCACCGTTGTTGCTCGGGGGAGGAGCCTGGGAGCTCTTGGGAGCCTCCGAGGTCGTGACGGGAAGGGAAGGGGGAGGAGTCTGAGACTTCTTGGGAGCCTCCGAGGTCGTGACGGGAGGAGGGGGAGGGGGAGGAGTCTGAGACTTCTTGGGAGCTTCCGTAGTCTTGACGAGAGGAGGGGAAGGAGCCTGGGTCTTGACAGAAGTGAGGGCCGGGGCGGGAGTTGAAGTTGAAGTCGGGGCTGAGGTTGAGGTTGATAGGCCCTGGCTGGTAAGCGGACAGATGGTAACGTAGCCGGTCTTGGTAACAGTGACAACCTGCTGGGGAGCAGTGTAGGTTCCCGGCTTGTAGGTGGCAGGAGTGGGATAGACGATGACGGTCGCCTCGCTCACGGTGGTGGTGATGGGAGCAATGGTGTAGGTACCGGCGCTAGGGCAGACGTATGTAGTTTGGACAATGGTGCTGGTGGTGACGCTGCCGCTGGTGTGAATAGTAGCGACGGGGCAGGTGACCGTAGTGGCCGTCACGACAACAGTGGTGACACCACCGATGGTGTGCGTACCAGAGGGAACCTTGGTAGATGTGGCATCGCAGACGGTGGTGGTCTTCTGAATAGTGACGGTCGTTGCCGGGAAGGTGTATGTACCGGGTGTCGGGCACGTACGAACCACGGGAGTAGGCACCACAACAATCTCGGTGGTGGCAGGCGGTGGCGGAGGAGCCTGGGTCGTCGGAGGGGGAGGAGGCGGAGCCTGGGTAGAAGTCTCTGGAGAGGGCGTGACTGTGAGGATCTGAGTCTGGGTCTTGGTGGAGGGGACGACTATTTACAGCGTGTTAGTGATATTGGGCTATTCCATCTTTCCTTTGTACGAGGCGGCGGCGCTCAATTGGAGATGCCACGTACGTGTAGGTTCGCCAGTGATGGTCTTCCAGATGGTGGTACAGCCGGGAGTGCAAACGGCGGCGGTATCGTTCAGACCCTTCTTGAAAAGGTGCTCGTGAGCATGCCGGTGGTGAGCGGCCGAGACGCCGCTGGCCAGCGCCGCCAGGGCGGCAGCAACAAACTCTCCCTTCATGGTGAATGTAAAGCGATGTCTATCGAAGGATTCGATTCGTTGAAGCAAGGAAAAGAATGCCCGCTGAATGAGTGAAGCGGTAGATTGGTGAATGGAAGTAAACGAAAGGACGAAAGCTGAAGTGCACGACTTTCTGTTACGACCTCAACATGGGCGGCGGGTGCATGAGGAGGGAGAGGGAAGAAAAGAGAAGTCTAGATGCAGCCGGGGACATAGCTATTATTATTGATTGCGGAGATGGGTGGTGCCGACCATCAGACAGGCTTCGTGGGCCGGTTTGGCTAGGTGTCTCTGATGACATGGGTGAGATGGGCTCGATGCGGACTCGACGACATGGATTTCTGGGCTCGTCGTCCTGTCTGGTCTTGTTAGTCCAGTCTTGCTCCTGTTCCTGGATCCACAAGACGAGCTACGAGAGCCGACTGGGCCACGGGTACACAAACTCGCCGCGACGGAACGGCGACTAGTCAGGTGCCGCAGGCAACTGCCAGGCACCAGACGTGTGCCTGCGCACTTAGAGACAGGGGGGTGCGACCAACAAGGCCTAGCGGATGGTCTGGTGCTCACCGTTCTGCACACGACTGCACGCACACACCCTGCCAGCTGGCCATTGCCAGCGCCCGTGTGGGTCCTCGATACTGTTGTTAATTTCCACCGTCCACTTGGCTCGTTAGTCTGAAGGAGCCGTCACCAGTCAGTCACCAGCCGTTGGGCCACTTGCGCGTGGAGGCCGGGTTATCGTCAGCGACGAGTCCCTCTCGGGATTTCTTCAGCCACGGGAAATGAGCAGCCATTTAGCTAGTCGACTTCTTTTTAGTGAAATGAGATGGAGCGCAATATCGCCTTGCAACTTGGCGTCAACCCCCAATGGATAGGGGCATAGATAACACTGCTGTACGAATGGCCAATCTTGCCCATCGCCGGAGATGAGTTCCTTTCTCTTCATTAGTTTTTCGTTGGCCTTTTGTATTTCGCACTTGAAAGTGGTTGTCTCTCAGCATAGTCTGGGAAATTGCCTTGTGCTGGTGTTGTTGCGCATTGATGAACATCACAAAAAAAAATAAAAATAAAAAATAAAAAAACAACTCATTCCCTGTTCCCTGTCGGCGTTTTTACTAAGCCTCATTGTCTGCCCAGGGATGTCTTGCCTCTTTTGGCTTCGACCCGTGTCGATTGATTGAGAGATTGTTCCTGCATCCAACCAACATTCGACCAGACGAACCAGGTACCACAGCCATCCGCGTTAACCAACATTAACCTCTAAAGTCCAACGTGGTTCGTGGCTTGGCCATTCATTCTCCAGTACGGAGCATTCACTCTCGTTGCCGAAATCTAGAATCACTTCTCCCGATGGGTTTTGATGCCTTCCTTGGCCAGTTCATGAGTTAATGACCCCTGACGACATGCGCAGACTCCATACCGCTCTTTCTTTTCTTATCCGGGGAGATTTCTCGGTGAATACTCCATACCGGCTCCCTGAGTTTCTCGCTTCCGAGACCTTGCCGCACATGGGCAATGGCATTGGTAGCATTGCCGTCCTTAGTACGGGTTACACTTATGCGCAGCCTTGGCAAAATGATATTTCGTGCCGAGCATTCTCTGTACAACGCGGCCTGGTCTCTGGCCTAATTTCTAGAACCCCACGGGTCTCTCCTTTTTGCTCAAGGGGGGGTTACGCCTCACTCATTCTTACCACGTTGGACTGTCGGTCAAAAGATGGCTAAGCGCAGTGCCAGGATCGGAGATGCTACCCTGTGAACCGGGTAATTGCTCTTGGTCGTGCCATGTCATTTGTTCCTGGCAGGCGTTGGCTATTATTATCTGAAAATGGCCCCGTATTCCGAACACAACACAACATTAGCCAGTGGCTCATTGGGACAACACCGATTCTCGTAGGGGGCCAACTCTCCATCCGCTGGGATGGTCTGATGGGGCCAGGTATCGAGTAGCTTGCATGCCTGTTCCTGTTGGCTCAAAATAAACAAAAGTAGCCAACGATCAATACTCGCCCGCAAGCATACATACTGTAGTACTAGTGCTGTATTGTACACTACTGCTGCGCTGTTTTACGGAGTAGTTCTTCCTCGGTCTGCATGTCGCCCGGGGTGGCTTGGCACTGTGGGTGGTCTACGGGGGGATCGGAATGCGGATAAGGGCAATCTGGTGTTCCAAGATCTTATTGCCGTTGATGGAATGTGGCGAGGCGGTAACAAAACGGTGAGACAAGTGCCTCAGTACTAACACCCACTGTTTGGCCCAGCTGTTGAGTTATTTCGGCGCTCTCAGATTTCGCCTGGCTCATTCATATTGGGGGCCTCCCAAAACGCAGTTACCAGTTTTTGTGATCGCTCTTGGCGTGACAAGTTATTGACAACCAAGCCAACTCAGCACCATGTAACACAGGGTAATTGTGATGGATGTACTCCGTACGAAGCAATTACGAACTGGAAGAAGCTATCGAAAATTTCAACGGGTCTAATTGAGAAGCGTTGGCTCATAAACAGCTGACGTCTTGGAGGTGCTGAATTGTGGTTTTCAACGAGGAGCAGCCGAGGCGGCATTCAATCTTGGCGCTAAGCTCGGGTCAGTCGGCATCTCGCCATGCAAAAAGCAATCCACAGATCTTTCTACTTCCTTCACCCTATTTATCTCCAGACTGGCCCAGTCAAAACAGTCTACCCATCGCGAGACACGATAATGCAAGTTCCACGAAAAGATTTTGACCTCGGGCGTACTTATTGGCATCATTCAAAACCATTCTTGCAGCAGGAGGTTTTTAGCTTTGGCTGCAACATCTGAGCTCCCCTTGCCAAGTTCTCATCACATATCATTATGGAGAAGGAGAGTACTACATGAGCATCCCCCAGTGGGCGCCTATGGAGAGGAAAGAGGAAGAAAAATGGCAAGACTGGGCAAAGCTGGTAGTACTTATATACAATCCCGTGACAAAGCATCAATGATATTTGAGTGCAAAGTTTGGTTGGTACCTAAACCTTCTTGTTACCTGCAGACTGGAGCTTTTCTTGTGAGGAAGCAGCCCAAGTACACTTGTGGGAGCTACAGGTATATGTACAAGCATACAATGGAGAATCCGCGCCATAGCATTTATTGTAGCCTTCGACGGACTCGAAAATGCAGCTCCTATCTCCGGCCTAATGAAAAATAAAAGGGTAGTGGACGTCTGGTCATCAGCCTAGTGTTGTCCTTCGCTTCAGCATATTTCGAGGGCCGATTGAACGATAAGCTCTCTGCACGGTCGCGCCTTAGCGGGAAATCGGTCAATTCAAATGAAGCTATCCCGAGATATATATTGTTCGTAACGGCTGTCGCATGACATCATCCATCGCAGCTGCCTGCTTTATTCGTTGATTAAAGGCCTGATCCATTTTACCAACAAATTCAGTAGCAATATCATCATCCCGAATAAATGAAGCATCCTGACTGCCCCATTGCGACTCTGTAGAGAGACGCCGTGGGCCTTTTACGATGGTTCCTGTGGTGTCAAGGTCGTAATTCCGTCAGTTTCGTTAATATCGCAGTCTTTAATTCGCGGCCGCGATACGCATGTAAGCTTGACGGCCCTCGGTCTCCGGCTTGTATGAATCATCTCAATCAATAGCTTCAAGGCCGGAGCTGTCAAAGTTGTTCGTAATACTTCAATAGCTGCGGGCGCTGTTGAAGTAGTTGCCTTCCTGATCTCTACATATGCAGTAAATTTTGACACCGGCCAGGCAGCTTGAACCTCCCATCCACAAAAATCGTGGCCAAATAGTTCTCGGCGGGACGAATAACCCATCCTATTTCAACCATGGTTCAAATTCCAGCGTCGGCTTGTTGCGCGTTTACGCCGTCGGTGGCCTCTTTTGCGGTCGCAAAAAATGGCTGTAGACTTGGGAATCAGAGGAGAAGCAAGACGAGTTATAGTTATTAATACAACAAGATATGGATCGCATTGAATGTGGACCTGGTTCTTGATTGATTGAATTGAGGACTTCTCTGTGGTTGAAATCCAGCAAGCATCCAAAGGGCCACCTTTCCGTAGGTTCAGCTAGCTAGCTTCTAATTTGAAGCTTACAGCCTATTTCGAACATTCCAACACAGTTCGAACCTTCTAGGTGACTTTTTCAAGGATCCAGATTACGTATCCGTTGACATAATAAGAAATGATGCGTTTTGATGCTGCGATGCGTTGTGTGTTGTGTTTATAATCAACGGCCCTGCGTGACCAAGTGTGGCGGTAAGTACTGCTACCACAAAATTTATATGACAAAGTACCTGACTCGATTAGCACTAGCTGCGTGCTTTGTTGTCCCATGCCTCCTGCCCTAAGTCCTCAATGTGGGGTCAGACACTAAGTCAATCCAAAACCACCAACCAGACAAATTTGTGTTCCTGTTTGGACGCGACACGATACTTTTTTTCCCAACATCCAACTCAACCAGCTGGCGCCATGCTACGGCACTCGAGACGGTCATACGTGTGTTGGAACTGTCTGGCTCGCCGTGCCCTTTCTACGAGGGGAACGCTTTCTGTTCTGACGGGACACGCAAATGCCCATTATCAAGCGTCACATAGAGTTAGTACTCAACGGATATTCAAATGAACATGTTTCCCGCACAGCACTTACGCATCTCTCGCATCTGTAGAAATGGGCTACAACGCAGAGCTCAACCCCCCATGGGAAATCCCATATTCCCGACCCGCTGAATGATGGATTCTGCAGGGCTGCAGATACTGAAGCTATAGACAACCTACCGATACGCGAACGCCTTCGACGATGGACGGTAGAAAATGAACATATAGGCACGAGAGCTATGCCGCCGGAGGCCTTCATTCATGGAAGCATCGCCAACAATGTCAGCCGAACACAGTCAACGGGGTCGTCCGAACTTGACCGGTTGCGATCGACCACTCGAAACATCACTGATACAGGCAAAGACGAACCTACAAACGATGACGCAGAGGCATCTATTGTAGCTTCTGACGCGAGGAGTCCAGGGGATTTGGTAGAGCTGAGGTAAGTTTTGAGTTGACCCTCTTCCTGTTCCAAAATTTTTTTGGTCTCATGAGTTTGTTAGACAACAGGGTTCTCGAGTTCCCGTGTTCGCTATATACCTTGGCTACTATGGTGATAGGAATCACTTTTATGCGGCCAATGGGAAATGGGTTACAAGTATGGGGTTTTCGTCACTCTTTAGTGTTTCCAATTTCGTCACGCCTCAAGAATTGGAATCCGTATTGGCCAAGATTCCCAAGGACGGTACTCCTGAGGACTTTGATGAGTTACGCAACAATGAGAAGGGGCCATCGAGAGAAGACGGAGTTGGCCTCATTAGTAAAATGACAGAATTTAGGGCGTCTTCCGAGATGATTTATCAAGGGAATATGACCAAGCTCGACGGTGCTCGTGAGCTGCTTTCTAGCGCGCGAGATGTCAGGTATCTCAGCCTGTTCGAAATCGCAGACATGCTGCTCCCGGGAAATTTGAAAGGGGAAGATGGCTTCCCCCCTCCGGCCTTGTACGCTGTACATACGGCATTGTCTCGCAATGATATTGCATTCAGTCCATTGAGCCCTTCGGCAGACTGTCACCGGCGCGACCACTTATTCGAGGTGTTTCCCCAAAACCACGCACAAGTCATCACGAAAATTGCAGCTTGGGTACGCGAATACACAGACTCGAGTGCGAAGAAAATGCGGCCACTCAAAGACAGTGAATTGGAGGAGGTCGCTCTGGGAAGATTCATCATCCAAGCAAGAGAGGCTGTTTCATACAGCCGTCAGACCCGGGAATGGACTCCCCATGGTATATTAAAAACATCACCCAGCGTGACGTTACCCAAGGTGGACTGGTTCTCTGTTAGTAAAGACGTCATTTTATTCCTGGAGTGGTGGGCAAGCTACGATCTGTTCGGCGCCGGATCCCGATTTCATTCATATGGTGCACTCATTCTTCGGTCACTAAGGCTCTATGATGATGCCACCCTCGATCAGAGTACTGCTTGGACCTTTCTTCAGGAAATTGGGGTTATAGCGCCATGGGAAATCCCCTCCCGGTACAGGGTTCGTTTTCCAGGAACCACCATTGCCAGAGGCGGTGGGATTAGTCGTCCCAAACCCAAAGACCTGCTCAAGTCTACACGACCTGATATTGCAGAAGGTAGCAGAAAGCTGCGAGCCGGGTCGCCAATATTTTGCATCGATGCACCATCCACAATGATCATCGATGATGGTGTTTCACTGGAGCATACTGATCAGCCTGGCGAATTCTGGATTCACGTGCACGCGGCAGACCCTGCCTCGGGCATTCAACCCAACTCGGAATTGGGGAGGTTCATGGAACTGATTCCGGAGAACATCTACCTCCCGGGCCACTTCCAGGCAATGCTGCCATCAGAGCTGGGAGAGGATGATGCCAAGGACTACAAGTCAGAGAGCTTGGTCAAACAGTATTCACTTCAAACTGGCTGTCCCGCATTGACCTTTAGCGCAAAAGTCAATGAAGCCGGTGATGTTCTTGACTATCAAGTTGAACCCAGCACACTAGAAGAAGTCACATATCTGGATCCTGAAGATGTAGCCGAGTTCTGCGGAGAGCAGACACCACCGGCCGTTACAGGCTACAGCTTTGAAGTCGGAACACCCCCGGACGCTACAACAGCAACCCCTGAGCGCAATATGACAGCTGTGCAAGACTTGGACGCAAAAAGCAAGGAGGACATCCTGACTCTTTATCGCCTTGCCGAATCAATGAAACAAAAAAGGTTATCCAAAGGGGCATGGCCATACTTTTTCCCACGACCATCGGTTCAAGTGTCTTTTCACGATGCAATACCGGAAGTTGGGGCTATCCAGGGGGCTACTTTATTCCCGCCAGACCCGTACATTAAAGTCGGCACCGAAAGCTCTACGGGTTGTTCTGTTGTGTCCAACACGATGGTTCTCGCAGGAGAAGTTGCGGCACGATGGTGTTCCGACCGCGGCATCCCGATTCCATATCGTAAGGATGCCAAGTCAGCAGAAAATTTCGAGGGAGCATTCAACTTTGCGACAAAAGAGATTTATCCTTTGATCTACCAAGGCATCGAGCCATCAGCCACTCATCGGCAAGAGCTATCAAGGTTGACGGGAGGAATCCAACTTTCATCGGAACCTGGACCATATTTCCTTCTAGGACTAGACATGTACACCAAGGCAACGTCACCGCTACGCCGATTCTCAGATCTTCTTGTGCACTGGCAAATACACGCAGCGCTAGCATTCGAAAGGAAGATGCAGCGACGAATTGATGCAACAACTGACGTGTTGGATGGCATTCTCCCATTCACGACTACGTCGCTAAGCAACACACTCCCACTTCTGCAAATGCGCGAAAAAATGGCCAAGACAGTGTCACGCGGCACATTAGACTGGATTCTTATTGCGCTCGTCCGAGCGTGGCGCTTCGAAGACAAGGCGCCACGCACGCTTCGCTTCACAGTTAGCTCACGCTGGCGTCAGGGGGTACTAGGCCACTTGGATATGTTCGACCTGAGCGCCACCATGGACGTTTCTGGGTTGAACGGCTGCCGCCTCGTCAAAGACGTTCGCGTTGGCGATGAGTTTGAAGTCGAGCTGGCAGACGTAAATGTGCACTCGAGACAAATTTTGGTTAAAGCACTGAGATACCTCGGCAGCCAGCATCCTCTTGACTCTAGCAGTACTTCAGTAGCTGGGATTGTAAGGGAAACCAACGCTCGCATTAGCTCCGTATAAATCAGCATCAACTGAGGCTATACATACAGCCTGATGTGCCACGTTGGCATCTCTCGATGTCATGTCCTCATGGCAGTACTGGTCTGACTGCCAATGCCAAACAAGATTCACTCCGTTTAGAAATGGTAACGGAAAAACCTATTGCTCAGGGTACTGATACCCAGGCAACGTTACCACCAAGGCGAATGTACACGTACCGCACTCATCTTACTTCACAGCCCTATATCGCCTCTCTCTACCGTCGCTGCCCTTGTTGTCTTTATAGGGATATTCCCAACGCAACTGTCCGGGACTAGACAAAGAGCCTTGTAGTTTTATTATTATTCACAGACTTTGGATTATCGGGCATTCTGTCCTCACTGTACACTAATGACAGTCATGATACATTGTATAACATGCGGTGGGCACTAAAACTGGCCCATGGTAGCTGTCGTAAAATCCAACTGTATTCTACGTCAAAAAATGCGTGATCTTGTGTCCTTTGTAACCCGCCATGTGGCCATGGTGTACGCGGCTGTTTCTCTCGACCAGGCCCGCCTGCTGCATCACCCAAGTCCAGTCTTGACGTGCCAATGCCCTGGCCAGGGTTGCAGCAGGGCGCTTCGTCCTCCATGAACGAGCCCTCGACGAGGGACAAGCCAAGAAGGGCAGCTCCAAGGGAAGAAGGCTCACGCCTCCCACCTCGGCCTGCGCCATGTCTGAACCTCGCCTGCCTCCCTGCAAAGCACCACCTCGGCCGGCACTTTCCCACCCCCCCTTCCTCCCCTAGACCGAGAGTGTAGATGACCCGACCATTGCTCGCCTACCTGACCTGACCCGACCATTGTAACTGACCTGACCTGACCATTGCTATTACTATTTGGGTAAAATATAGTGGGGTTATAGTGGAGCTTATAGTGGATATCCCCCCAGGAGTTTAGCGGTTAGGGTTAGTTAAGTTAGGTATTGGGGTTAGGGTTAAGTATCAGGGTTAGCCAAGGGATATGAATGACGAATTAGGTAAGACCAGTGGTCAGGTCAGGTCAATTACAATGGTCGGGTCAGGTCAGGTAGGCGAGCAATGGTCGGGTGGTATGCATTCTCCACAATACCCCAGACAAAGGGCTGCGATGCTCGTCGGCTCACGATGCCTTCCAAGTCGTCCATGTCCACCCACCGCCACCAAAGGGTTACACCAGCGGCCGACCCTTTGTACATCTACTGCGTACCCCAGGTTTCCCTTTTTTTCCCACTTGGTCCCCAACGCAAACAGCCCGCGCACCCAATGAGCACGCTGCACCGCCCTGCCGAGACTAAAAGGGTTGTTCACGAGACCACTACTCCGTACCCCCGATGAATATTGTTGGGTTGTGTGCGGTGCCACAAAACGTCACAAGGGGGCTTTGTTTGGTCTTTTGCTTGCTTGCTTGAACCCCTCAATGTTGATGCCTTGTCGTATTGGGTGCTGAGACGTGGTTACGCCTACCGTGCGTGTCTTCTCACTGGACCTGATGGAGGCCAGCTACAAATCTTGAGACACAGCAAGCAAAACCCAACCTTGAACCTACTTCTAGGTACAATGGTCTCGGGATACACACACACTGTGATTCACACCCTTGAGAACAAGCCAGTCCATTCATTCGGCACATTCTTGCAACAAGCGTCTGCCTGGTGGAAGCAGACTCCAATCATCACTCGCGGCGATGTGCCGACACTACGTCATCTTCCAACGCACCGGCCTGTTCTTCATGGCACGCATTGAATTCGCTTCAAACGTAGATGCACTAATTTACACCTCATCCTATATTTTTCGCCGTCCATGATGCCTCACGCCCCCAAACAAATCACCAAAACAATGCGTCCTTTTCATACATGCCCTCGCCATGACCCCCGATCCACGCAGTAGGGGAAAAGAAAGAACGAGAAAAGGAAGAAGGAAAAAAAAAGGAATGATGGCCATGTCCAAAAAAAAGACAAAGCCTCTCGTCTCTTGCCAGATACACGAAAAGCACCAAAAAACCAAATAACAAAAGAATACGCCGGCCAGTGCTGTTGAACCCGGTCTTGATCCATGAACCCGAGTTTTGTCTTTTCCCCCCTTTTTTGCACATGTTTGTTTGCTAGCCCATATGATTCATCTAGTGGATCCAAGGAGAGACGAATAGTAGCGGTGCAATAAAGAAATAGAAATCCAGAATGAAGCTGTGTTGAGAAGGGACAGAAGAATAATGTCTAATGAAAACAAGTCGTATCAACAAAGAATCGTGTAAAAATGTTCTTGTAGCCAGAAAATAGCAGAAACGTATTAGTCGTCATTATCAGCGTAACGTGAGGCCGAGTCGCCTCGGCAAAGCGGGAACGTGTCTAGTGGTCATCCATAGAGTGTTAATGCCCGTCCCCTCGTGCCAGACGCCATAAGCTTCATATTCCCTGCGCTGACCACAGTCCAACTTAAGGAGTCAGCCAGTAGCATCTGCAGGGAAGGAAGGCGACGGAGATAACTTGATGAGTGGTGGGAGCAGGCCTGGCCACCAGACATGGCTTTTTCGAGTAATTAAAAAAATAGTTGGAACCATCGCAGAGGCTTTCAAGGGGTATCGGTTTAAAGTTCGTTTGTTTAGGGATCAGTGGTCTTGGACCAACAAGGATAGCTAGTCGTGCTTGAGTTGCCCGTTTCTCAGATGCCATCGGTTCCGGTAGACATCGTCAGACTGCAAAATGTTCTTTTCCCTCATTTCCTCCACCCAACATTCCAAATCACATGCGCAATGTCCCGCGCCGTGTTGACAGTGTCGATAACCCGGCCTAAGAGGCCATCGCCGTTCGAGGCCTCTCCTTCCTCACAAGGCATGAACATACCCGAGGCCGTGCGACGCATGCCAGCTGGCTCGTCAGTCAGACTCCCCGAAGACGACGACTGGTGAATGCTACAGCCGACTGCACCCCCAGGTGGAGATCGCCAGCCCGAGCTAGCAGCCAAGGTTGCGTCACTAAAGCCATCATCGTCATCATCATCGTCTTCCTCTCCAAAGAAGAACCTTGATGACTGCTTCGCGGGTCGAAGGGTTTCCTGAGAAGACGAGGGTGACATCAACGGGCTCCGGTAGACGCCGGTGCTATGCTTCATGGCGGTTTCTCGCGGTTCTGGAGTGTCGGCTCGATATTTGAGCGTAGTCGATGGCAGTTTGGCAATGATCTTGCCTTCGGCATTGGTAGGCTTCTTATTCCGCTTCTTGGATAAAGCGGCACGCTTCTTAGGTTTGACTCGCTTCATCATGACGCCACCATCGTCGGAGTCGCTGTCTTCGCAAACACCATGGGCATAGTCCTCCTCCTCATCGTCCTTGACATCGATAGCGATACACTGCTCTACCTGTTCATTAAAATGAATGTGTTTTCGCTCGGGGAAAGGAGAGGACATATTTGACGAGTCTGTGGAGGCTGCAATGGAGCTGCTGGTACATTGACTTCCTCTTCGGACAGAAAGAGGGTAGGCAACGTAGTACTCCGCGTTGGACTTGTCTGTGCCATACTTCAACACACCTCGGGTTTCCTGAGCTTGGACTGCCGCTGTAGCCTGTTTCAACAAAGATGCAGATACAAGAGACCTTTGCAGCATGACTTCAGACATGCTCCTCTTCTTGAGGATAGGCTTCTTGTTCAGGTTGACAAGTGAGTCCGTTTTTGATAGAGTCACGCTTGACGGTTCTGTGCCCGTTGGGTTCACATTCTTGGGACCGCACTGCAGAGGCCCATAAAGCCAAGTAACATCACAATCTTTGAGCCTGTAGTACGCCGCTGTTTAGCGCGCAGAAACAGCCTGGGGAAGGTGAGGGGGAATTAAAACACACCAATTCAGCTCCTCGGGTGAGATTGTCTTGAGATTGTTCCTAGCCTTCATCCAAGTCCTCCAAGAAGCGTTTTCCAATCTGGCACTGTTGGCGAATTCGCCTCTTTTGGAGATGATGTACCTCCAAGATGACCAGATGTCTTCCTCTTTCCAATCATGGGATAGGTAGTCCACTTGCCGGGACGGCCTGTTTGACACTGCCGTGTCATCTTCAGCATGTTCGGTCACGTCCGGTGTGTCCGGACCCGATGTGGCAACGGAAACCTCGGGCTCGGTGGGAGAGACTGTGTATGAATCACCCGTTCTTGGGCTCGGGGGCGGTTCCAGATTGTCATCGTGCTGGAAATGGGGCTGCAGAAAGAACTTTTCTTGCGATAGCAGAGGTAGGCTGAATTGGTCTTCCGGGCTCTCGTCGATCCCCAAGGTCTCGTCAAAGTCGGAAGATATTGACAGGTTGCTCGCAGGAGTTGAGGAGAAAGAGACGTCTGTGGATTCGGCTTGGATGGCGGGGGGAGAAGAGGGCGCTGAGGAAAGGTCGGAATCGGTATAGGCTTTGGATGGCGGGTTGAAGGGAGCGGATATTTGCGGCGTGGGCGTTGACCGAAACGACGACGAGGTGTGCCCTAAATTCGTCTGCGATTGTGAGCGACGCAGCGACGACGACGAGAAGTAGCTGCTCTCCTCGGAGGAGAGGACAGCGGCCATTGTGATAAGAGGCAGCTGTGTCTGGCGGGCTGCAGACGCAAGAGAGACGCCGCACAGGACTTGGTTTGCGGAGAGATCAGCAAGTCATGGATGCCGCCGACGACGAGTGAAATAGTCCAGATCCCGAATGTGGTTCGACGGTGCAGGTCCCAATCTGGAAGTGTTCGTATGTAGTTGGACGGCAAAGCGAAGGCGTTTGCTGCAGTCAGCGTTGTCTGGAGATAACGTTGGGGGTGGGCTGCAGAAGCGGTCCAACGTCGAATGCAGAACACAATCCTTGCTGATAAGAGACGGCAGATGGCGGCGCACGCCCACAATGCAACAGCTGCTGCTACGGGAGCAGGCAACGGCGAAAACGGGCGGGGGATATGGAGCGGCCGGCTGGCGCGCAGAAGGCGGATTCAATCGTGTGCGCCAGTGTGCGAGTGGTGATGCGGTGAGCGAGTGACCCAATGGCGGACGAGGA